ATCTCGAAAATTCAGTTTTTTGTTTCCTCCGTGGCGAAAGCAGGCTTCCACATCAGTGTTACACGACCCTTCAGAAATCATTCTATGCTGATGTGCTGCTCAAGAAACATTTCTTATAATTATCAATGCTGAAAATGATTGTGTTCCCTCCTATTTTTTCAGGATTCTTTGATGAATAGAAAGTTCAAATGAAATCTTTCATTATAAACGTTATGAATGTCTTTACTGTCACTTTTGATCAATTTGATGCATTCGGCTGCAATATAACAAAGAGTGAAACATTTAAGGGGGTCTGAATACTTTCCGTACCCACTGTAATAATGCTGATCATTACATCAGCGTAATATTGCACGTAATTTAAAACGTTTGTGTTCTTTTTAGTATTAATGTGTGTGTGCACTTTGGTTGGGTTAAATGCAGAGCACTAATTCCAAATATGGGTCACCATACGTTGAAAGTTGGGCAGTGGGTTTCTAGTTCCCAGCATGCTTTGCATAGGACTGGATAAGGAGAATAAATGTTGAAATTGAGTGTTATTTTATGTGTTTATATATATATATAGTATTTGTATATTATCCATCTCAAACTATTTTAAATCATATTTAAACTTTGTATAAATATATACACATATATTCGTATTAACTGATAATATTTAAGTGAAATGCAAAAAAAAAACTGATTAAAATTGTGAAAAATATTTAGATCTTAAAAATGTTCCTACTCTATGATATCCATATACTTTTAAAAAGACCTTCTGTTGTCTTATACTACTTATATCAAAAAAATACAATTAGTTTTACTGTCAAATGTTTTACTGTAATTGATCAAATCTGATTATAGATTATTTCACTGAGAAATGCAGTCTTACTCTCAAGAAAAAAAACAATCAAATCAAATACACTTCCACTTCAATTTAATTCATTTCTACTTCAGTTTAATTATTTGCGCAAAGTGCTTCTTTGAGATTTAATGCTGTATGGTGCTGGATTTTCACAGTAAATCTACTCGTTTCTCTTTCATCACACTGATGTACAACAGGACATTTGTGTTATTTTAGCATGCGTGTTTGGCTCAGTGTTATTTTTTTAGGATTACTGATAAACTAATGTAGCTTGATTTGTATTAGTTATCTATTTTAGTTTTAGTTACAGTTGTAGTAATGTTGTCATTTTATTAGTTTTTTATTATGTCTATATAGGTTTTTTATTAAGTTTTAGTTTTATTTAATTTGAGTTATTTCAGTACTTCAACATACAAAATGGAAATGAAATAATATATATATAGAATGTACTGTATTTATATATATGTACAGGTATGTGTCTGTGGCTGTACATACACATGTAGTTGTTTTTTGGTGTTTGGCTTAGTGTTATGTTAGAATCATTATTATACTCATACCTTTTGTTCTTTAATATTTTGAATTGTTTTTAGCTTTATTTTTTTGTTTCATTTAAATGTTTAGTTTTGAAATGTTGTTGTATGCATTTGTCATTTTTATTTAATTTCTTAAATGTGTGTGTGTATATATATATATATATATATATATAGTATTTATAGAGTTTTAGCTTTTAGTTTTAATTACTTTTTCTTATAAGTCGCTTTGGATAAAAGCGTCTGCTAAATGACTAAAAGTAAAGGAAATTCGAACTGCTACACAGAGCAATGGAATGTTTGAAGTGAAACGAGTTTAAACACATTTAACAAATCTATTCGCTTACCTTTAGCCTGGGTCGCGTTTAGAAGAATTAAAGTTATCAAAACGACAAGCAAAACTTTCCCCATGACTGAGAAAACACGTCCAATACGATCAATTCAAAACAAACGGTTTGTCTGTGTGTGGAATCCAGATGAAGGTCTCTCTCTCTCTCTCTCTCTCTCTCTCTCTCTCTAATAGCGGTATCGTTCCAAACCGATGACATCATCATCACCCCCTCATTTGAACCCCTTTCAGCCTTTGTCATCATAATTACTTCTATTATTTTGTGTTCTTAATCGTCCAAAACTTTATCCATCTAAAGTCTTAAAGGGGCCGTTCATAGTTTTTATTTATTTATTGCTCACTTGGCGGCCAAATGACATTTGAAAAAAAAATAAAGTAAGACCTGTTGGTCTATCAGTAATTTTTGTTTAGTTTGACGGTTTCAAACAAATATCTTGTTGTTCAGCCAAAGATTTTGCGTGCATGTAAATTTAACCATTGTGAGAAGGAAACGCCTGTAGGTGAGAGATTAAACCAATATAGAGGTCACATTTATTATCTTGTAATCTACAACCATTTGGACGTCTGTTTTCACTTCCCATCAGTGCATTATCTTCTCATTTGTTGGTTACTGCGGTGCAGCCAGCAAGAGTTATCCATGACGCAGTAGGAACAGATCGAATATACATCAAAGGGTGACAAAAACATGAGAGAGAGATGCTTTCCTGTTTCCTACAAAGCACAAACTCATACCTAGATGTTAAGTAATGCAGCAAAACATGCATTCTTGCACACCCACACATATCCGCGCGCACACACTTTTGATTTACATAGAGGACCTACAATAATGTACAGTATTTGAAAGATAATGTGTTTTTTGAACATTAAAGCATGTCAACATATTCTGTTACACCAAATACACAAAATAATGATCTTTAAAAAAAAGCATCATATGACCCCTTTAAAGCCCTAACCCGCAGGTCAGAGAGTTCAACTTCTTCTAAACTAGTTTTTACCAGATTTTACACTGAACATCAACTGGCAATCAAACACAATACCAAAACTCTTTATTGTGCAAGAGTAAAAAATAAAAAATAAAACATATTATACACATAATACTGCACTAATGCACCAAAAGAGCTTGATTTGACGTCATCAACAAAAGAGATGGGATGCATTTTCTGCTCTCTTTTAAAGGAATAGTTCACCCAAAAATTTGCTCATTATTGGATCAATGGATCCTCTGCAGTGAATGGGTGCCGTCAGAATGAGAGTTGATAAACAGTTGATAAAAACATCACAATAATTCACAAGTAATCCACATGGTTCCAGTCCATAACGTCTTGTGAAGTGAAAAGCTGCATGTTTATAAGAAACAAAGCCATCAGAAAAGCATTTTAACTCTAAACCGTCACCTCTGGCTAAAATATGAGTCTATAATCCATAATAATGCTTCCTCTTGAAGAAGTCCATCCGCTGTTGTCCTCTCACATCAAAATCCACCCACATATTTGTTTAGAACTGTTTTCACTTAACAATACTTGATTTGTGTATATTTCTCTCCTGATTCAGACGAGATGTCTTTTTCACTGGAAAAAGCAATATTATGTATAGACGACTTGTGTTTTAGTCAGAAGTAATGGTTTGATGTTAAAAATGATCTTGATGGATTTGTTTCTTACAAACATGCAGCTTTTCTCTGATGTTAACTGATGGAATGGAGTAGTGTGGAATACTTGTAGATTATTGTGATGTTTTTATCAGCTGTTTGGACTCTCATTTTGACGGCACCCATTCACTGCAGAGCATCCATTGAAGAGCAAGTGATGTAATGCTAAATTTCTCCAAATCTGATGAAGAAACAAACTCATCTACATCTTGGATTGCCTGAGGGTGAGTACATTTTCAACAATTTTTAATTTTTGAGTGAAATATTCCTTTAAAAGTTGATAAGATGATACATTTCGTTATCTTAACTATGCATGATTTTAGGATTGCTTTTTGTCCCCAAACAGTTTGAACTGTTTTTTTTTTCTCTAAAAAGCATGTGCATTAACTATGGGTGACTTCATATTTTGTTTTTGAAACTGCTGGGTTTCTATCAAAGTGATTGTTATTCAGTAAAGGTGAAAGGTGTCATCGTTTCCAGCATGTGAGGACACATTGAATGACTAACACGCATCTCCTGCTGCAAGCGAGCTGCGTGAAACTCATGCAAACACCTACCAAACATCCTGCTGTTCAGAGTAAACATTCAGATAGAAAGCCTACTGATCTGGTGCGTCAGTTACTCTCTCGAACTGTGAGACTGGAACACAGATGTCTTCTTTACAAACAGAGCACATCAGAAACAGTCAGGCATGGAAAATTAGTGCCTGGGGGTAATTTCTCAAAAATACTCACATTTTTATGGGAAAAGGACATGGTGTTCTGAAGTGACACTAACACATCAGGACTTCTGAAGGGTCACAGTGTTTACACACATGTGAACTGGTATTCAAACGCATATTGCACACACAGCATAAACACACATGGATAGAGATGACGCATTTAACAGGACGGTGCCTAAATTTCTTACAGTATGTGAACATTTCTGAAGTTTGGGATTCTCAAACATAGACTTACTAAGAGGATTCATAGAGATTTCTCTCCTTTAGCCTAGAAACAATTGACATCTTGTCTTAAATCATATTGCTAATTTCATTTCTTAATAATATTAGGCTATAAAATATAAGTATTATAATGTTTCATTTGATGTAATTCAACTAATACACTATACAACTAATCAACGAACAGACTCAACCCCATGTAATTTCAAATCTGTGTTTCTTTATTTATGCTGTGGAACAAAAAAGGAGATTTGAGAAATGTCTCAGTATTTTTTTTTTCATCCAATAGTTGTCAGTGGTAACCAAACATTCTTCAAAATATTTTCTTTTATGTTCTGCAAAAGAAAGAAAGTCATACAAGTTTGAAACGACATGAAGGCGAGTAACTGATGACAGATTGTTTTATTGTGAACTACCCCTTTAAGAAATGTTTATGTGGCAATGGTACAACAGTGCCGCATACATACCATTATATCGTAATTTTGGTCAAATTATATAAACACACCAGTGATTTTTAAGCACATCACTTAAATTCAGTGCTTAAAAAGTGCAACTGGCAGGTGAACACTCAAACTGAGCTCGTTAAAGTGATTTTTCAGAGTTAATGACTGTCTAAACCAGGAGAAAAATCCCAATAAACCGCAGGCGCAGGCCTCAGAACTCAAGAGAGCGTAACTCTGGATACAGAAACAGCCAAACACCCAAACAAATCTGAGCTGCAACGCTCACCACTGCAGCTATGCTTCTATTGACCATGTGTGATTCATTATTACATTTCTGATATGGCGATTTCTCATGAAAAAGGAGACATGTGGCGCCATCCCTCAGAAGACTTCAGCGTGTCCAACATCAGGTACTTTTCCAGACACAAAGGAGAGGTAAGCGCTGATATTTTGTCTGTAGCCTACTTAATTTTCTTTCTCTATATATTTAAATAATGTTTATATGTTTAATTATCTATTTTGTATAATTTTTTTACACTTGACATAAATTAAATGAATTAGGTGGATGTTGTTTCAGCAGCGTTATGCTCTCATCTGTGTCTCAGGTGAACTGCTGCGCATTCTCACCTGACTGTCAGGTTCTGCTCACGTGCTGTGATGACGGCAGACTGTACCTGTGGAACGCCACCAGTGCAAAACACCTGGCCACATTTAGCGGACACTCAGGTATAATACCCACACCTGTGGCCTTTGCACTTGACTACTTATATGACGTATTTCCTGCATCTGGCCCAAGTGTTCAAGTGAGGATGAAGACCACAAGTGTGTGTACAACTTTTCATTACCTGATGGGACACACTTATAGTGTTGTAAAAATGCAAGTGTTTACATAGCTTAATTTAAATTTAAATACTTTGCATTTTAAAATCAACTTCTAAATGGCTGTTCAGTAGTCCCTATAACATGACAATTTTAATTTGTGGTGCTTCTAATTAAGTGATAAAAAGCAGTTGCAAATGTTGTACAAAATTAATATCACCACTACTCATCTTTGCACCAATAAAACATAAAAAACACTGTTTTTCTACCAAATTATATGTCATATCTAATTATTATATTAATATTTAACTTACATTGGAAAGGTTTTCGTGACCTCTCGCGAGATCTCGGCAAAAAGTCTCACGATTTATTTCCAGAACATGATGCATGATGGGATACACTAAGCCTTGAATAGTGCTCCGGAGCGGTATTCGAGATAGTGTGGATTTAGTGTGCGTTAAGGGCACTGCGCTTTGCCGTTTTTAAGACCTGGGACAGTCTTGCGCACTTACTTTCTGTCGCGCGCACGCGCTCTCAAGTGGCCAAGACCTCAAGTGTGGGTATTTGGACAAGGCATTTGTATATTTTTGCGACTCTGGAGTCCCCTACCGTTAAGCAAGTGGAATTCACTGTGGTATATATATCACTGTCGTAATAATTAACATGGATAGCTGTGCACCTGCATTTGTTGCTGCCGTAAAGCAACCCGCCTTTTTCGCAGAATTTCGTAAACGCTCACCATACTTGCATTTTCTCACCAGTGTTGCCAAGTCCGTGGTTTTCCCGTGGAATCGGGCTACTCTAACACTGTTGTCACTGTTGAAGCGACCTCAATAACGTGATATATTTAGCCACAGGAATGCGATTGGGCTAGTTTTGAATAGCAATTGGGTGGGTTTTGTTGTGAAAACCTGGCAACCCTTATTCTCAGAACAGACGATTTCGCTTTATTATAAGTCGATGGTAAAAACCTGCTAGCTAACTCTCAAAATCACAAATATCCTTTATGTATTTAATCCCATTCTATTAACCAATGTCTTTGCTTCTGACCTTCGATGATCCAGTTCAACCGTACTAATAAGCACAAATCACTCTAGACAAACATTTGTGTGTCTTTGTTTATTGCTGAAGTGTGTTGAAATTTCTTCTTCTGCATTCTACGGACGTAAACTTACTTTCCCTTCAGCCTGAGGCTTATTCATTTCACTTTTGGTGTGAAAAGGCTTTTATATTTGCCAAAAATAGAACTTTTTTATTTTAAAAACAAACAAGCAAGCCCTGTCCAGACTTAAAAAGTAACGCAAAAGTAACGTAACGCATTACTTTCCATAAAAAGTAACTAAGTAACGTAATTAGTTACTTTTTTAGGGAGTAACGCAATATTGTAATGCATTACTTTTAAAAGTAACTTTCCCCAACACTGATCATAGTTGAAAAAGGATGCGTAAGCATGACATCTGGCCCAGAACATCAGAATTGGAAAGAACGGTTCGATAAAAAAAAAAAAGTACGAAGATTATCAAATGCACAGTGCAAGAATCTTCTGTTCTATAGCTGCTAAATGACATCAGACCTGAATGAATAAAGTCATAAATTGGGGCTAGGTGCCGAAAAAACTTGAAAAATTGGCTGTTTAATGGCACGTTCAACTTACCTCATATAGTGGGGCATGTTGTCACAAAATGGTGTTTCATGAAATGTGGAAAACATAAAAATAAATAAGCCTATCTTGATAAAAGATTTACTGGAGTTAAAAAAAAAATCGAATTTTTAGAACTTGCCCTGATGTATTTTTGTATTAGCAGGGTTGTATTAGCAGAGCTCAATAACAGGGAAAAGACTAAATCCAGGGCCAAGCTAGGGGTCAGTAAGTACAAGCAATCCAGAACACAAACAAACAGATTCGTAGAGCACAGAATCCAGAGAAACTAGTTAAAGATTTAAAAAAAAAAACTTACAAAAGAGCAAAAATATACACAAGCATTAACGAGTCCATCCAGTGGTGCAATGTGGGTGTGGAGTGTATTTAATGTATGTAGGTAAGCATAAAGTTCAACATTTTCTGTTTAATATTTTTGTTTTGAAATAAACACGCAGGTCCTGTGAAATCATGTGTTTTCTCCTCGGATGGTCAGCTGTTTGCGAGCGCGTCTCACGACCGTACCGTCAGAATCTGGAGCCGCTCCGGCACTGAATGCACACACTTACTGACGGGTACTCATACTCAGTTCATAATGACTGAAATTATAAACTCAAATACTGATCTATCACATGATTCACAGCTTTAGCAGCATCATCCTTTGTTCTGTTTTATAATCACTCTTACAATAACCATAGTTTCAGTCAAACTGAACTTCATTTAACATGTTTCTGCTTGTCAGCTCACAGTGGGAGTGTGGAGACGGTGAGCTTCAGTCCGGACGCTCAGTGGCTGGTTTCGGGTGGATGGGACAACAGAGCACTGATCTGGAGAGTTCAGGTGACAAACACACACGTCTCTTTACAGATCAGGACCTAATGTTTGAAACAAACACTTCCCCTTTTTAAAAAGACTTCTGCAGAGTCTAACAAAAATAGAGGGACACATATATTTAACCAAATGAAACAAACACTTCCCTTTCAAAACCATGTTTCGAGAGGAAAGATATCGACATTTGAACAATTTGAGCCATTTTTATTGCGTGAGAAAAATCTTAAGCGTGATATTATAAAGAAAATGTTGTTTATAAAATGTAATAATTTTAAATATTTATATAATTTATTATATTTATAAATGGATATGTTAATATATTATACTTTGTCTAATAAATATAGAATATTTAAAAAATATCTATTTTGTTGCTCTTTTGAAGCCGATACGAATTTAAGTATTATCTGGAAAATGATTATATAAATGTATATATTTATAAATAATATGAATAATATTATTTGCTATTAAAAATATCAAATTATAATAAAAAATATACAAGCAACACATACAGCTTTAAAAATAAAAACAGATTTGTTATTAAAATAAAATTAGGACTGTCAATAGAATATAACAGAATATAATAACTGATTACTCTTATGATTTCTGACTAGAAAGAACATTTTTATTTTGAGCATATTTAATTCATATCTAGCACATTTTGACAGCTCTAAAAATACTTTGGGGAAAAAAATTCCTAAGCATCCTCTTGCAACCCCATGGAGGTTTAAAATCAAGGTATCATTCACATCCATAACACAAAAATAGTTTTGAGACAAGCATTTTGATGAAATTGAATACTTACAGTTAAGTTTATTTCATATCAGTAACCTTAAGAATGAACTAAAGACCAGTTTTGGACTCTGTTTATGTAGTAGCAGGTGTTTAGCTCACCAGTTGAAGAATGTAGCACCATGCTATCTGTGCAGTGATGTTTCTGTGGTGTTGTTTGATGTCACAGAGCGGGGAGATGGTGGAGGATCTGCGGGGTCACACTGCAGCTGTCCAGAGCAGTGCCTTCTCATCAGACTCACAGTGTGTGGTATGAATCATCTTCTCACTGTGTGTTTGTTTTGATCTGTTCAGCATGAGCTGCTTCACCTCCTCTTTCTGTGGGTTCAGGCCACGGGCTCCTGGGATCGGACCGTGAGAGTCTGGAAACTTCTTGAGGAAAAAGAGGCTGTGACATTACAGGGGCACCTGGGAAACGTGGCCTGTCTCTGTTTCTCTGTTAGTGGGATGCTGGTGAGCTCACAAAGCAGATTTCTTATCGAGAGTGTGCTTCGATATTTGATTCAGGAATCAGGATTTTAAAAAAAAGATGTTTTTCTTCTGCTGACAGAGGCTGCATTTATGTGATCGTGATAAAATATTATTACAATTTAAAACAACCATTATTCAAATAGATGTTATTTTTAACCGTAATAATATTCCAACATTTTTACTGTATTTTTGATCAAATAAATGCAGTCTTGGTGAGCAAAAGAGACTTAAAAATCATTTTAAAAACATTTAAATAAAAAATTGAATTTGTTCCTGACTTTAGAACGCTAGTATATTTATGAATGTGTGTGTTTCAGGCCTCAGGCTCATGGGACGGCACAGTGCGCGTTTGGTTGCCGATGCATCACGCGTGTCTGTTTGTGTTGGGAGGTTGTGAGCGTGTTTGGGTCAGGAGTCTGGCTTTCTCCAGAGACGGACTGGTTTTAGCATCCACCGCTGAAGGCGACATGGTAAAACAAACACACACACACTTATTCACAGTCTTTGTGGCAATGCTTGATACTGATATGTTTGTTTATCAGGTGAGGATCTGGGATGTGACCACTGGAGTCTGTCTGAAGAGGCTGCAGGTGACTGAGAACCTTTGACTAGTAACATATGTAGCATTACACAAGCTTCATGGTGTGTGCGCGTTTGGTTGCCGATGCATCACGCGTGTCTGTTTGTGTTGGGAGGTTGTGAGCGTGTTTGGGTCAGGAGTCTGGCTTTCTCCAGAGACGGACTGGTTTTAGCATCCACCGCTGAAGGCGACATGGTAAAACAAACACACACACACTTATTCAGTCTTTGTGGCAATGCTTGATACTGATATGTTTGTTTATCAGGTGAGGATCTGGGATGTGACCACTGGAGTCTGTCTGAAGAGGCTGCAGGTGACTGAGAACCTTTGACTAGTAACATATGTAGCATTACACAAGCTTCATGGTGTGTGTGTGTTTTAGGGTCATAAGGACTCGGCATACGGCTGTGTGTTCACTCCTGATGGGAAGCTTCTCACCAGCGGTTCTGAGCAGCTGGATGTAGAAGAGGATGAGGAAAACAGCACAGAGGAGAGAAGTGAGAGTTTAAACACAGAACAGGACAGTAAAGATGATGGACCATGAGGACGGTCAGTACATTGTGACCCACGGTGAATGAAAACAGCGGTGGAACTACATCCAGTTTTACTCAGATAATCAGCGATTATAAACTCACCGACACACACCTCCACAGTGAATGTCATGCGGCATTCTGCATGTCTGAATGAACGCATTTATGAGACGAGCATCCATGAAAACAACCACAATAACTTTCAGTTTGGGTTCATAAGGTTTCAATTATTTTGTGATTGTTGGCAGTTTGTATATATATATTTTTTGTACTGTTTAGAAGGTATTCACCTTGTTTGAGACGAGCATCCATGAAAACAACCACAATAACTTTCAGTTTGGGTTCATAAGGTTTCAATTATTTTGTGATTATTGGCAGTTTGTATATATATATTTTTTGTACTGTTTAGAAGGTATTCACCTTGTTATTCAATGCAAAAGGAAGCTATTTGTTGAGATTTCTGATCAATTATTTACTATTTTCACTGCAAACTAGTGTTTATGGTTATGGTAATACATTACAAAATGATAATAGCAGTTTGTAACATCAAGCAGCAAAACAGACTAGTTTGGTACTGCTAAAATAACGAAGTGGATGACAATGGAAGGAGATTTTAATGATACTGTAATATTATATTTTCATGTATTAAGACCCATAAAGGCTGTGTGAAAACAGGTTTATAAAATTTAATTGTAATGTTTTATATTGTACTTTATATTATACCATTATGTTACTCTTTTTTTTAATAAGATTTTGTCATGTTACTGTTCTAATGTGAGAGGTAATTTATATTGTAGAAGGTATTCACCTTGTTATTCAATGCAAAAGGAAGCTATTTGTTGAGATTTCTGATCAATTATTTACTATTTTCACTGCAAACTAGTGTTTATGGTTATGGTAATACATTACAAAATGATAATAGCAGTTTGTAACATCAAGCAGCAAAACAGACTAGTTTGGTACTGCTAAAATAACGAAGTGGATGACAATGGAAGGAGATTTTAATGATACTGTAATATATTTTCATGTATTAAGACCCATAAAGGCTGTGTGAAAACAGGTTTATAAAATTAAATTGTAATGTTTTATATTGTACTTTATATTATACCATTATGTTACTCTTTTTTTAATAAGATTTTGTCATGTTACTGTTCTAATGTGAGAGGTAATTTATATTTAAAATAATGTAACATCTGGAAAATATTTTATATTAAAACACACAATGTATGAAACTTTAAAAAAATAAAAGCCAGATTTGATTTGAATAAAATGTAGGATTTTTAAGAGTATCTCAAATTATTCCATGCTCTCTGTCATGCAAAAAGCATATTACAAACCAATTTTTTCCCACAATCAAAATAAATTCAACACATAATTAGGATTGCCAAACTTGAAATAAAAACGTACAAAAAGTATTTGAACGATTTGTACGATTATCTGCACATACATCTTATGAAATCAAATGCATCAATTCTAATTCAAATGTTACGCTAATGAAAAAGGTTAACTCAAATTTAGTTTTAGATTTTTTAAATTGGTTCTTAAATGTTTTAGTTTCACTCCAGCTTCAAAGTGACATATCATGAAAATCGGACTTTTCCAGGTTTTAAGTGCTATAATCAGGCCCCTGGTGCATCTACCAACCAAGGAAACGTGAAAAAGATTAACTCCGTAACTTTGTTTTTGTCTGAAAAAACGTGCGCGTCTGATTTCGCTCCCCTAGTGACATCACAAAGGGATCTCATTATAATGTTACCGCCCCTTAATCTGTCAATTTCCACCCACAGCGCCATCATTTGATTTCGCAAGCGACAACGGTGTACTAGCTCGAATGCCACGGCGAAAGTTTGAGCAAAACATGCTAACTGTTCTGCCTTTGGCTGCACAGACGAGCACAGAACACTGTTTAGAGTCCCAGCCTCAGAGGAGACAACAGAGCAGTGCATTTATTTACAGTATATTGCTGCTGATACACAGATCTAAAATAAACACGCAATTTATTTCCCAGCGGTTTACCTTCACAGACATAACCGACTGTTTTTGTAACTTGTGTTTTTAACAAACTTGTGTGAATGAGAACTTAGTTTAGTACTCGCATGCTGTGACAGCCGCTTTCTGTCCGTGTGCTTCGGATGTGTGCTCTCAGAAAAAACATATATCAGAAGTTTAAACTCGTATGGTTTAAAACGCGTGATTTCAGCATGATAAACATGATAATCAGAACCAAAACAGATGTTTAGCAGATACAAGCTGTAATGGCCAGCTCTGTTCTGGAAAAGGGGCGGGGAGCAGCTAATTTGCATTTAAAGATACAGGCTCGAAAAACTGCACGTTTCTGCTTCCACTCAAAATAGGCATTTTCAAAAGATTATTATAAATGATCTGTGGAGTATTTTGAGCTGAAACTTCACAAACACATTCTGGGGACACCCGAGACATCGATTACATATTGTAAAAAGGGGCATAATATGTCTCCTTTAAATAACTCAAATCTAACATATTCAAAGCTGTAGAGACTTCCAGTGGAAAAAAGCATCCCAGTTATAACTAATGTCAAAAAAACAAACAGATAAGGCTAGTTCCAGATGCAATCATCACTTCCATCATATTTCCCAAGAAACCCTATTCCTGCTTCAGAGACATACACAGACTCGGGCGTCTGAATTCCAGGGTGGGGTGTTTATTTTTTCAGTGATAAACAACAGTACAGCCTCTCAAGCCTTGACGGCGAATTTGCGGATGGAGTAGAGGCGGGACTTCCTCTGCATCTTCTTGGTCATCAGGTTCTGCTCATGTTTTGTCAGCTGACGACGGATGGCACGAGTCTTCTTGGGCCTCAGGTCCAAAGGCTTGTATTTCTTACCCTGAACATGAAGAGAGCAGGACTGTTAGAATCTACTAGACGGACATTACAAGCAGCAGCAGGAGAACAGGAAGTGCTGAGACTGATTACTCCTTAAATAAACACAGCTGTAAAACCCTCCATAATAAAAATACATGGAGCCTTTTCACAGACTGATGACTGTTTCCACAGTTAATCTAAATCTATAAAACTAATTACACTTACAGTGCATATTTCTATTTTTTAAATTGTTGTTTAAATCTGTTTTATATTTGTAGTTTATATTTTTATTTAAAAATGTAATGTGTTATAAATGTACATTTAAAAAAAACTATATACACACATACATATATACAAATAAAAGACTAGGTGTTAAATTTCAAAGACAGTAACTGGGTTCTCTAGTAAACGGTCTTTTTGAATTGGACTACAGCTGAAGTTCATTAAATGATAGGATAGAAAGGTGCTGTCGGCTGCTCACAGCAGATGAGAATCATTTAAAGACTCCGCCGTGAACGGTCATATTTCTTTAGCAAGAGAATATTCACACTAGCTCCACTTCAGCAGGAGGAGTGCTGGGTGATAGTCTTGCTGGAGTCTAAACGGACGCTCTGCAATGTGTGTCTCATAACAAATCAGGTCATCTGAATACTATAATGACAGTAACATGAAACTAATGGCCATTACAGCTTCCCATTAAAACCACAAACACTGCTGTTTATCAAGCATCAACTTGATCAAACTCTTCTAAATGTATCCGTCTGAAAGAATTTTGCTGTCAAGATCATTTGAACAGGCTTTCACGTTATCTTTAAATTAGACCTCATCTATAAAATGACTTCAAGGTGTTACCTGTAGTAAAAGAGCACGTGTGCATTTAAGTGATCAGTGGCATTAAACTGACCTTGTAAAACTTCCTCAGATTCTCCTTCTGTGTCTGGTTGATAACTGTGAGGACTCTGGCGATGGACTTGCGGACAACACGGCTGAAAAGAGAGGAAATAATCATTAGAATGAATCCATTTAATTCTTCAACATCAACTAATTCCAGAACTAAATTTTTGACAAAAAAAAAACAAAAAAGAAATAAGGCCGCAAACTATTTCAAAACATGTTTTCAATGTATGGAATAGACAGAGGATTTCTGCAGGTTTTATGAAGGTACACTTAAAAGACTTTGCTCTCAACCACTAGAACATGGAAATACCTTTTACTTTAGCGTCTGATCACACTGTAATAGGGCTGGGTATCGAGTTCGATACTTTTTAGGCACCGACCGAATTGCCTCGATACCATCGAGTATCAAAAAAAGTCTCGTCATTCGGTACCAAATTTCGATACCTAAGGAGTTAATCTCATCAGCGTCAGTGAGCCAATAAGCCTGCAGCACTAGATGGTGTGTTTGACTAGAAGAGGTGCGGTGCAGATCGATCATCCGCGAGAGAGATTCGAAAGCGCACGGAGCAGTCTGCTCTCTTTAGCTCTCGCGGTACTGTAATACACCGATTGGTCTGCACAGTCAGTCCGCGTCAAGTAGAACACACCTACTAGTTTACACCGGTTACACTCAAGAGATGAGGCGCGCAGGTGAGGCTGTAGTGTGAATGTGTCCCCAGCCCCCTTAGATGCTACATTTACACTGGTGTGTTTATGTTCTAACATGAAAACGATCCTCGTCATACTGGCGTTTCCACTGCGTTTCAAGCCGGCTTTCCACCATCTCCGACAAGCGACAGACCGGTCATTCATTTCCAATGGAGAGTAGCGCGGGAGCTGCGTGGAGTTCCCATCATATGCAGATGTCCGTTCATACTAACGTGACCAAAAGCGCATGTTATGTAACCATTCATGCAAACCGTAGCATCATGCTACATAAGACAATATATAAGATTTATATTCAGCTTTTACGCAAAACTCACTTTACACCACCATCGGGTGTTTGTAATAACTTCCAATTAACGTCTAATGTGTGTTTTGGCCATGTAATGTTGCTAATATTAAATATGTTATTACCTCTGAGTCAGAGCAGCGATCATGGAAGAGAGAACACAAGCAGACAGCGCTGGAAGCTGCTAATGCTCATCAGTAAATCAGGGGAAAATAAATAGAAATCATGATTCTGTCCGAGCTATGCGTTTTAAAATGAACACTAACTAGTGTAAATGTAGCCTAACAGATGTGTAAACAAGACTATTTGAGCTTTATTAAAACTATTTTGCACTGATTTATTGTGTTGGTTACATTTTGTTCCTTTGTGCAGTGGCTCAGGAGATGAGTCTTTGAGTTTGTATAAACATCAACAAGCTGAAAAATAAAACCAAAGGTTTTTTTTTTTTTTAGATAATGTAATCTTGTTAAAATTGATTTCATAAAATTGGTGTCGAAAAAAGTATCGTTCAGGAACCGGTATCGAAGTCAAGGTATCGGTATCGAAAATTTTTGAACGATACCCAGCCCTACGTAATGTTCTTCCTTAGTATTGACGTCTTGTTTTCCAGAGCAAATGTATAACATATTCTCATATCAAAATGCATTTACTTGAAAAGTAAAATGCCATAAGACTTTAAGTCTTGTTTTCTGGTAAAACTAATCAAGAATGAGTTTACGCTTTAAAAAAAACCAACATATCTGCCAAGGGGCGGAGGCAGAAAAAAAAAAAAAGTTAAATCAGAGGGAAAAAGGTTAATACCCCATTAATAGATGTTCATTCTTGTTTCAAGCATAAACTCGGTTCAATTTTGCAACTCGTTCTTGACTGCTCTTAATTTACAGATATTTGCACCAAAAAACAAGACAAAAACACTGAGGAAATGCATGCAGCTTTCTACTGATTAACAAACTTGTAGAAGGGTGAAGACTAAGACCTTTTTAAAATATAATACACGATCAGTGTTGGGGAAAGCTACTTTTAAAAGTAATGCATTACAATATTGCGTTACTCCCTAAAAAAGTAACTAATTACGTTACGTTACTTTCGCATTACTTTTTAAATCTGGACAGGGCTTGCTTGTTTGTTTTTAAGTGAAATGAATAAGCCTCAGGCTGAATGGAAAGTATACAGTAGAATGCAGAAGAAATTTCAACAAGCTTCAGCAATAAAAAAAATAATAAAAAGACAAATGTTTGTCTAGAGTAAACATCAACAAGCTGAAAAATAAAACCAAAGGTTTTTTTTTTTTTTAGATAATGTAATCTTGTTAAAATTGATTTCATAAAATTGGTGTCGAAAAAAGTATCGTTCAGGAACCGGTATCGAAGTCAAGGTATCGGTATCGAAAATTTTTGAACGATACCCAGCCCTACGTAATGTTCTTCCTTAGTATTGACGTCTTGTTTTCCAGAGCAAATGTATAACATTCTCATATCAAAATGCATTTACTTGAAAAGTAAAATGCCATAAGACTTTAAGTCTTGTTTTCTGGTAAAACTAATCAAGAATGAGTTTACGCTTTAAAAAAAACCCAACATATCTGCCAAGGGGCGGAGGCAGAAAAAAAAAAAAAAAGTTAAATCAGAGGGAAAAAGGTTAATACCCCATTAATAGATGTTCATTCTTGTTTCAAGCATAAACTCGGTTCAATTTTGCAACTCGTTCTTGACTGCTCTTAAAAATGTACAGATATTTGCACCAAAAAAACAAGACAAAAACACTGAGGAAATGCATGCAGCTTTCTACTGATTAACAAACTTGTAGAAGGGTGAAGACTAAGACCTTTTTAAAATATAATACACGATCAGTGTTGGGGAAAGTTACTTTTAAAAGTAATGCATTACAATATTGTTACTCCCTAAAAAAAGTAACTAATTACGTTACTTGGTTACTTTATGGAAAGTAATGCGTTACGTTACTTTCGCATTACTTTTTAAACCTGGACAGGGCTTGCTTGTTTGTTTTTAAGTGAAATGAATAAGCCTCAGGCTGAATGGAAAGTATACAGTAGAATGCAGAAGAAATTTCAACAAGCTTCAGCAATAAAAAAATTATAAAAAGACAAATGTTTGTCTAGAGTATGCTTATTAGTACGGTTGAACTGGATCATCGAAGGTCAGAAGCAAAGACATTGCTTAATAGAAAAGGATTAAATACATAAAGGATATTTGTGTTGTTTAACCCTTTAACGGTCACTCACATTTTTGAACGTAGACGTGAAGGTGCACGATTCAAACTTACATTTTTATAATTCATGAAAGAAAACATTTTTGTAACATGATATTGATGTACCATTTTCATGGTAATGCAATGTTTGATTTTAAAATGGGTTTCAAAGGATGAATTTTGAGATTTTAAGTTTTCAGTTGATATACAATTTCGGTTGATTTCTAAAGTGTGATCGAGAAAAAGGCAACAACGAAGACTTTTTTTGACAAAGGTCAGAACTCCTGTTATGATATAGATTTTTGAGGTGCACTCTTGTCATAAATTAATCTATTACTTTTCCTACATAATTTGTGAAAACATTGGTAAAAAGTTATTTAGGAGTCTTAGACCATTCCAACGATATATAGTTTGTCATGATTAGATTAGGATTTAATTGTAATATAGTGAAGTAAACTCATGCGTCCCACAGAGGGGACGGGTGACAGTTAAAGGGTTAACGTTTAATTATTGCAGGTTTGCGTCATATTCTGAGTTGCATTATTTTTATTCATTTTGAGGAATACTGAATCTGTGGGGGTGTTTTTTGTGAGTGAGATCAATTAATGCATATTCTATATACTTATTTGAAAAAGTAACTCCGATATTCTCTTGTAAATTAAAAAGTAATGCGTTACTTTACTAGTTACTTGAAAAAAGTAATCCGATTACGTAACTTGTAATGCATTACCCCCAACACTGTATACGTGAAAAGAAAAGTTAGTCCTTTTAAATCCATCCCATCACTCACATCTTGGAGAGCTTGGATGCAGCTCCGCCGGTAACCTTGGCAACGCGTAGCTGGGACAGCTCCACCTTCAGATCATCCAGCTGCTTCAGCAGCTCCTCCTTTTTCTTTCCGCGCAGGTCTCTGGCCTTGATCTTTGCCTACAAACACACATTATTCATTAGCGTTTAATCACATCAAACCACTTTTGTTTTAATAAAAGATAACTATTACAAGGGACTACTGCAACTGTGCACGACTATCAAACACTTACAAATACATAGGTTTTCCTTCAGAATCAATTGCCTACGAATCTCAGGGCTTTCTGATAATAATGCTTTGTCAGTCACTCTCGCGGAGTCTAAAGTTATAACTGTCGCTTCTGTTCGACGGCTGAAGGCCACAATATCCAAAAGCAACTCCATAATATTAACTTTATGTACTCATAATTGCAATTAAAGCCGTCCGCGCCGCTAGCAGGCTAAAGAGCACTGCTGGACATCGCTTCATCGCTCAAAACTCACTTCATTACAAGATCACCGCTTCAAATACCGTGCTCAACCTCTAGCGCACAACTCGAGGTGTATTTTAAACTCTCTCTCGGGGTCGTTTAACATGTTTAACGCACAGGATTGATTCAGATTGTTCGGTTTCGGTAAAACCCTCACCATTGCTCTCGATGGCTGCCACAAGAAAGGAAGTCGCAGCGGTCACGTGGGAAAATCTACCGGGTGACGGAGGAAACCAAACGGCTGCGGGAGAGGCCAGGAATAGTCCATTCGCTTCTTATAGGGGGTGCCTAATAACCATAATTGATTAAATGACTACAATATTACCCTCAAATGTTGACTATTTAGAAGTAAAATAGTAAATTATATAGTAAACACAGGGAATATACTCATTTCCAATGTCGGATTTCTGTTACAAACCATTCTGTTTATTAGACGAGATAATTGTACGTGTTTAAATATGTTTACGCTGTCGTAAAAATCGATAAAAACATTTAAAATGTATTCGCTTCGCTTTAAAATGTATTTCTCTTAAATAAATATTTTAACGGAATAGCCTCGTTTGTCGAGGGGTTTGATTGACAGCTCATCGCCCCGCCCACTCTTCCGGGAGACTGCATTGACCATCATGGCGCTCGCAAGAAGTGTCTACAACCTGCTCTTCAGAAGAACGTCTACTTTCGCTATAACCATCATGGTGGGAGCTGTTGTCTTCGAGAGGGTGTTTGATCAGGCTGGAGAAGCGGTGTTTGACAACATAAATCAGGGGGTAAGTTATTTTTCGATTGAATTCGGTGGATTTCCCCATGACCCACCGGTAGACTGACCTTGATTAGCCTGCTTGCTAACAACAACTAAATATTCAGAGGGATGAAAATATAGGACATGTATTTAGTGTTATATTGATATAAATATATTCAGCTTGATTCAGAGGAATATAGGACATGTATTTAGTGTTATATTGATATAAACATATTCAGCTTGTCTTTATAATCATCACCTAATCTTATATAAACAGTTTAATGCCATTACACGTTAATGCTAATTCATATTTATCTGTATATAAATCTGAGTATAAATCTGAATATATCTGCAATGTGTTTTGCTCACCCTGTGTGCTGCTGTCATTCAGCTGTTTATTTGCTTTTTGTAGAAACTCTGGAAACACATCAAACACAGTTATGAGCAGAAGGATGAAGAATAATGATGCATCTTGTGGAGCGTTCATTCTACCATCTTCCGGCCGGATTCTCCTGGGGACATAGACAGAGACTTATTGCAGAACCCTGATGAAAATGTCACGTGACCACTTGTTATTGTGCCATGTGTCACATTCTTCACCATTTGTAAATGTGTTGCTAGCTTAATTCTGTATCAATAAACCCAACGACCCCAGAATCGTTGAAATATGGTGCTTCTTCTGTGTGCAGTGCAAGAAGAAATTTCAGGTGGCGTTTGATTTTTAGTTATTTTCTGTACACCACCACATATGAGCGTTAAATATGTATTTCTGCTGAAATCATGCTGAAACGGATCATTTTCAAACTTTGTTTACTAACAGAAATAGGGATATATTTCTCTATTAAACTAACTACTTTAAATAAACAAATATTTTTGTGATATTGCGGACGTTACAAGAACTGTATGTTATTTAGTTAAAAACATTATCGAGAGGTGAAATGCTTTTTATTTTGTTGCGTTAGGAATTAGAAATGCATTTCAGTTTACATTTTGATTTTATGTGTATTTTTGCATATGTCATTTTAATACATTAATAATAGTAATTTTTTATTATGATTTTTTAAGTACTTTTTAGTAATCTTGAGGCCCCCTTAGTTGAGAAGAATTGCACACACAACTGAAAATGTCACTGAAGTTCATTAGCTTGCTTTCTGGCAGACCTTGTGTAATTGAGAGACATGGGCAGCACTGTAATGTTCTTGAAGTCTCACTGATCCATCAATGTAAAGATTGAAAAGCAATAGTTTGTTTGCAATGTACTTGTGAGAATGTGGCCGGTTTTAAGATGGACTGACCACTTTGTGTCACTAGAGCACTTCTTAATGTCACCATCGTGTCTATTTGCTCAAACACTTCTTTGTGTCACTATGTTTATTGACGGGAAATTGCTGCACTACACAAATGCTGAGTTGGTTTGACAAAAAAAGTGAAGCTTCTGGTAATCCACATAGTACGATAACACATTTACTATCACTGAAAAATACTAACTAGAACATCTTCAAAAGAAATGAATGTGGATAGTGAAAACGTCAGGGTTATTATAGTTAACTGAAACTAAAACCATTAAAAGATCAGGTGAAACTACCAGTAATGAGGTGTATGGAAATGTCATTAATCACTATAGGAAGCTTTAACTGGTAGAAACAGTTACATTTACAAAAAGTTGTGCCTCCAGATACAGTATAGTGTTATTTTAGTATTATAGAATTATATATTTTTATTCATATTTTAAATTAGCTTCTGTTCTATTATTTTTTAGTTTAATTGTTAGTAATTTTGTCATTTTTTATTAGTTTTTATTATAATTTATTTTGTTTTCAATATTTAGTTTTAGTCATTTTAGTGCTCCAACGTTTTTTCTTATTTTCATTTAGATTAGGTTTTGATCTAATATTTATATTTTATTTTATTTCAGCTTTATTTCAATTAACAAAACACATTTTAGGCCATTTTAGGATAATTTATGGTCCAAATTTGCATTATTTATATAGTATCTATGCATTATTTTATATGCTTCCCTTTGTTTTATCTTATTTTTGAGAAAGTGTTTCAGGTATTTAGTTATTTCATTATTGCAAAGAAGAAACAGCACTACATGTACCATATAATTTTTTTTTTTAGCTCTCTTGGCTCAAATGAATACTGTATTCATTACCAAACACACCCAAACAGTTACATTTACAAAAAGTTGTGCCTCCAGATACAGTATAGTGTTATTTTAGTATTATAGAATTATATATTTTTATTCATATTTTAAATTAGCTTCTGTTCTATTATTTTTTAGTTTAATTGTTAGTAATTTTGTCATTTTTTATTAGTTTTTATTATAATTTATTTTGTTTTCAATATTTAGTTTTAGTCATTTTAGTGCTCCAACGTTTTTTCTTATTTTCATTTAGATTAGGTTTTGATCTAATATTTATATTTTATTTTATTTCAGCTTTATTTCAATTAACAAAACACATTTTAGGCCATTTTAGGATAATTTATGGTCCAAATTTGCATTATTTATATAGTATCTATGCATTATTTTATAATAAGCTTCCCTTTGTTTTATCTTATTTTTGAGAAAGTGTTTCAGGTATTTAGTTATTTCATTATTGCAAAGAAGAAACAGCACTACATGTACCATATAATTTTTTTTTTTAGCTCTCTTGGCTCAAATGAATACTGTATTCATTACCAAACACACCTGTTTATCTGTTTTGCCCATCAGTGTCACGTTACTACATAGATATTTGCGCACACACTGAGGTTTTGACTTGTGTGCTCTTCACTGGAAAATTTGTTGTGGAATGAAATACAAAATAAAATAAATGTAAAAACTTTTTTTTTTGCTTTTCATCGGATAATAAATTATGTTGACAAAATAAAATAAAATTCAAAGATATTTAAACAATATTTTATATTTTTGCTTTTCATTGGATAATGGGTTATGTGGGAATAAATAAAATACAAATACAAAATACATAAAATTTTTGCAATAAGCTTATATTTTTGGAGAGAAGAGCCGCGTGGGAAGGAGCTGATCAGTCCAAATAGTGTGAAAAGTGATGATAAGGATGTTAATCTTGATGCTGATCAAACGGGCTGTTTGTGTTTCTGTGGAAGGAGATCAAGAGCAGACTCTTCAGTGGACACCTGCTCTACAAACCGGTGCATTAAACCACAAATCAACATCAGCTGCATTTCAAAGATGGACCTCTTTCCCTACCGCCGAGCATAGCCATGTCAGTGTGGGAAAATCATCACAAAATGGACTAGAGTTAAAGACAACATGAAATTGCATTCGCACTGCATTTAACTTCTGCATGTAACGTGAAACAAAGTGAAACAGTGGGAAATAAAATCGGATGGAACTTAATCTGATGGAAAGCAAACATTTACAAATAAATTGTTTAGATAGATAGATAGATAGATAGATAGTCGTCAGTCGTGGCCTAATGGTCTCGATACTGGCAGAGAAATGACCAGCGCTCGCTTTCCTTTCCTTTTAGATGGATATAGATATTTTTTCCACATAACTCATTATCCAATTAATATTTTGTTTTCTTATTTTAGTTAAAATAATTTTAATTATTATCCAATTTAATATATATTTTATTTTATTTAACATAACTCATTATCTGATGAAAAGCAAACATTTAAAAACATTATTTTTTTTCTTATTTCATTTATCCCGTACTACACATTATTCGATTTAATATAAATTATATTTTATTCCACATAACCCATTATCTGATGAAAAGCAAACATTTCAAAATATATTCATTTTGTATTTATTATTTTCTTATTTTATTTATCCGACACAACCCATTATCCAATGAAAAGCAAAAATATAAAATATTGTTTAAATATCTTTGAATGTTATTTTATTTTGTCAACAATTTCTTATCCGATGAAATTTATTTTATTTTTTTTCATTCCACAACAAATTGTCCAATGAAGAGCACACATTTGAAAATAAATATTAAATGTTTTATTTTATTATACAGAAGGTGAAACAATGTTCAGTGGGAAATAATACAGCACAGGACTTTAATTGGGTGAGACATGTTAAGTTATGATGTTAACTTAGGTTGCATGAACAGAACAGACAAATCATGTCAGATATGGACAAGTTATAAAGACTGTGTCTCCACTGTGTCTCTACATCACTGCTTATGTTTGGAACAGCATACCACGCATATATGTTTACAGTATGTTCAGATACTGTATCAGACACACCACTGCTAGTGTGACAAATGAACCAGTATCAATCTCAAGCCTTTTTAAAAAACGTAAAATATCTGTATTTATTTCAAAGATAACATGCAACACAGTGAGGTCATGTAATAACGTAACACACTACTGGTTAAAAGTAAACATTATCACTGCATATTGCATACTGTTTTATGTTTGACATGTTGACTATTTCCTGGCAATGAAGAGATATTTTTTTAATGTATTTCATAGGTTTTTGATCATGTAATTTTAAATGTCTATTAGCAGATGAGTTCAACGCATCTTAGAAATGGATATTCTGTGATTATTTATGTAAATTAGTTATTTGTTTAGCTAATTTTAAATGTAAGTTTGAGTTTGAAAAAGAGTTTGAATGAAGCGTGCATGTGAATCTTTCACTTTGAAATATGTACTGCTTTTTTATGTAAATAATGAAATGTTTTTATAATATATAGCGACAGTGCACTGTTCTCTCACCAGAAGGATTTTAGACACTTTTGCACAGTTTCAAAATGAATTAATGAATATGGATGGCTGTATATTGTTACGGAGAGAACAGAGGAAGCGTGCGGATCCATATGCAGAGCTTTATTCACAGGCATGGTCACAAACAGGCATGGGTCAATAAACAGCAAACAGACATGAATGAGGCAAGACAGAGTATTCCTAGGGCAGGCGTGGGTCATCGATCGGCGAACGTAATCCAGAGGGATTGACAAAAGGAGTAATATGTAAACACGAGCAATAGTCAAAGGACTGGAAAACAGGCAAGGAAAAACTAGACTAAGACTTGGAAATAAACAATGGCTCCGTAACATAGCTATCACTGACTAGCAATATGCACATACAATACTCGACGTTGAATGGAGGTGTGAGACTGATTTATATAGTGTGTGTTATTGGTAGCAGCTGTGTGTGATTGGTTTCAGGTGAGCTTGTGATTAGTGTAATGGCGCGTGGGAAATGTAGTCCAGGGTGATGTGTAACAGTCTGTGTAGCGTGAGAGTCCATGTGGAGAGCGGGTGACCTCTGGTGGTGAGTGAACGGAAGTTTATAGATTCGTGACATATATAAACATGTCTTTCATACAAAATTATGTTCATTACAAATGTTGACCTATTTATTGGAGTTTTGATGTATAGTTATGTCATATACAGTCAAAAATGATCTTTAACAAATGCATGCATAATGTATAACCAGGTCTCATGCATGGAGGGAAAAGACTTTTCTATTAAAAAGTAGTCATTTAAAAATATTCTTGTTGCAAATGAGTAGCTTAAACACTGTGCTAGTTTGTTTTAGGGTGTGATGATGTGTTTGCACACTATAATATTCTAACATGAACCTTTCAGTGCATTCAGTTTGATTATGCAAAAAGGATCATCATAAACACCCTCTTATAAAACATATCAGGAAGTGGCTTTATTTCTTTG